GAGTCCATCTTTTCGAGATACGCAACGAAAGATAACTCTTTCATACAGAGGCCCATGGGCCACAACGCTCACCTTAGTAAGCCCTGCTGGTCTACAGATTATAAAAAGATTTTATATTCCCATGAAAAATCGTCACCCAAACGTCACGAGTTGATGTACTGAGTTCGAGTGGACTCCAGGTTTCAAGTCTTGATTAGAAACCAATATTATGGCCCCACTCTAAGACGTACATGTACATGTACCGTCTCTGTCCTCTCAACATGGGGATGTTTCAGTATAATATGACTAACATGGCCTTTCAGTTACGGAGAAGAAAATTCGTTTCCTGTATACATGCAGTATGTAATAATAAAATTTGATCCAATTATTTTAGCTGTATATGACTCTAACCTAGGGTCCATAATTTGAAATTTAAATGAATTAATCCAGTATACACAACTTTTATCCCCTCTTATGGCTCCACCTAGTTAGAATGAAAGAAAAAGTGAGCAAGCTCACATACCCCACGCTCCCCCAAAACTCGACAATGCAACACCTAATGAATGGCACTGTGCATTTTAAATACACAGTTTAATTCAAAAAGGGGCATTACTTGCAAAAAATCATCACATCAAAACTTCTTGCATATAAGGACATTCAAATCTTTGTATGTTACAAATTTAATTGGGCTGAAGTTTCTAGATAAATAATGGAATCAAAATTTCTTGGTAATATACAAATCTATACATTATGTCTGAAATACCTATAAAGTTTCAGGAAATTCAGTGCAGGAGTTATGCTGACAAACTGTTATTTAAATTCCTCAGTGATTTCACTTTGTTAATGAGTGTAAGTCCTTGTCCAACACATGACAATTTACACAATTAATAATTGATGGAAACAAAATTATGATGTAGTCATATGAATTTGTTTATATACTGTACTTATGAAATTATTTAAGGCAAAGCACCAATTGGGGGGGGGGGGGGGGGGGGGCTATCCAAGATTTTGTGTGTGTGTGTGTTAAATCATTAATTTAATATTTTGATCTCAAAATCAATAGGGGTCTTTTAAGGTCATAAAATATTTCACATAAAATTTCATTACAAAAGCTGATTCCAGTGGATTTCCTTATTACCTAGCTGGAAAGTTTCTTCAATAATAGGCAAAACTCTAAGGGCAAAAATAAAATAATGGAATCGGAATTTCCTGGTAATATGCACATCTACACACTGTGTGCTAAATATCTGCAAAGTTTGACCAAATTCTGTGCAGCGGTTTAAGAGGAGTTGTGCTGACAAACTGTTCATCTCTATATTGAATTGAAGATATGGCCAAAAATGTAAGTTGAAAAGTGCCAAAATTCCCAGAAAAAATACAGGAATCAGAATTTCCTGGTAATATGCACAGCTACACATTGTGTCCTAAATATCTGCAAAGTTTGACCAAATTCTGTGCAGAGGTTTATGAGGAGTTGCGCTGACAAACTGTTCATCTCTATATTCAAGATATAGCCAAAAATCTAAGTTGAAAAGTGCTGAAATTCCCAGAAAAAATAAAGGAATCGGAATATCCTAGTAATATGCACATCTATATATTGTGTCCTAAATATCTGCAAAGTTTGACCAAATTCTGTGCAACGGTTTATGAGGAGTTGTGCAGACAAAAAAACAGGACTGACAGATTGATTGACTGATGGACAGGTCAAAAACATTATACCCCCGCAACTTGTTGCATGGGGTATAATTATCTAACTCTGCCTCAAGACAGGCCCTCACCACAGTCAGAATGCCTCCCATATACCGGCAATGTAGCAGAAAATTACAGAATTGCTCCAAAACGATTTTGAAGAAACTAAATAAAGTTGCATTGAAAAATTTGTAAAGGAGGTCAAAGGTCATGGTTACATTGTAAGTGGACTGTCATGCTGATAATTTTCATAGTACCTGGTACATATGTATCTAATTTGATAAACAGTGCACATGCAAAATAGCATAGACTTACCTCTCAAATGTCAAAAATAATTAAGCTGTACATGTGTGTTGGCTCTATGAACTATTTTGAAAAGTAGGTCAGAGGTCAAGAGGTGGGTAACACTGGTATTTTACAAAAGCCATAGTACTAAGCTATGAAGTATGTGCAAAACATTAAATCCATACTTCTTACAGTTCTCAAGATATGAAGTGTCTGAGACAGACACAGGCTAAAGTGATCCCTATAAGTGTCGCTCTGCAGGTGACAAAAAAATGATGTCTGTTCTACTGTTGTTTTTTTTTTGGATGAATCATCTTTGTGTTTCATATACATGTATTCTCTCTCAATTTTATTTCCTTGGAAGATAAAAGACTTCTCATTTGACCAAATTTGGGGGTCAGGCATGTTTGATCACTGGTGGCCATGCAGATAGCTCAGATGGTAGAGCACCTGACTACTGACTCAGGAGGCCCAAAGTCAGATAGGTTTGATCGCCAGTGACCAGACATCTTAGTTGGTAGCGCACCTGACCAAAGATTCAGGGGAACAGGTTTGAATCCTGGTCTGGTCTGTTGCATCTTTCTTCCTACGTGTTACACAAAATTAAATCCCATTCACCCATGCAGTGACATAATGTATCAATTAATTTTCAGTTGCATGAAACAGACTTGGAGGTTCTGGAGAAACATTTTTTTAAAAAAAATTATGCTAAAAGACAACAAAAGACATATGGAAGAAGATTATCAGACACATGCATGTACACTTTGGTCACACTTTTGGGATATGTTTTCATTATTCCTTTCTAAAACTATCAAGAGGCCATTATGGCAAATTATGCATAGCAAGTTACTGTATGACAAGATTTTTTAGCACTTGCTTACTTTGGCTTATTTTAGCATTTTGTAGTATCCGCTAAAATTTTAATTGCTAAATTTTCATCCGATTGTGTATAAGTACTAAATGCAAGAAAGATAATTTTGATCAGTTTCAAAGCTCCTTTTCTGCACATCTTCAATGAACTCATTACGACTGTTATTCATGATTTGACCTATTTTGAATATAAAATACCTGAAGCATTCTCCTTTTGAGTGGCATAATTCTACTGATTTGCAATGTCATGAAAGTCTGTGTCTGCAAGAAAAAATTCTTCAAATTATTGGCACATCTTTGGGCAAACAAACCACCAAATTTTACACCCGCTGAAGAAACCAGCTACAAGGTATGCTTAAAAATTGTGTGCATTTTAATTATGAATTTGATTTCTTCTAGAAAATCATTAGCATGAAAGCAAAATTTTAGAAGTGCACAGATGGATGATGAAGCTATTCATTTTTGAAGAGGAAAAAAAGTGGAGCTACAGTAGCTGCCTTATATTATTAGAAATGTGTGCTTCTTCCCGTAACTGGTAATGGAAATTATTATGTATGCTACCCCAAACCAAAGATTATGATCAACTCGACAAATGTTACTTATAAGAAAGGCAAGTCTCACACCAAATTTTTCCTAGTGAGAGTACTTCCCGAAATTAATTTCCATGCAAGTTTTATTTTGGTAGGACTTATATCACTGCATGAAAATTTGGCTTTACAAAACAAGTAAAGATAATGTAAATTTATTATTTACAATGCCTTTAATTGGCTTTTCTGAAAAAAGTCAAAGTTGGAAAAGGTAACCTTTACATTAACTTTACATGCACTTAAATATGATGTAATGTCCCACATTGTCTTGACTTTACAAAAAAGTAAAGTTAATATTTACAAACATTAAACACAGTATTTGGGGTACATTAAATCTGATAATTACAAATATTAAATTTAATTAAATAACATCTTTAATAGCCACAAAAGTTAATTACTGTTTTCCATTCTTTTGAATAAAGCTTGTGCACATGATAAATAAGCTTTTCCTTCCAAATTGAAACTGCAAAAGAAGTCTGGACATCATACTTAATACACAAAGTAACAACAGATTGACTTTAACTTTGTTTATTACTATACCAAACATTTTTATACAAACATATAATCAAAAACATCAAATTTCTTGACAGTATCTGTTGTTCATAGTCTATCTTGCAAATATAATCCCATACACATAAATAATATAAGTATCCAGGACAGAGTACATTTCACCAAAATCCTTTTCAAACATGTCATTTTGTTTTATAAAGAACCAATTGTTCATCCTTGAATTTAAAGATTTGAATTGACATGAAACTGTGCTCCACTTTCTTGTTACTCGACATGTGTTTCTGTGGAAATCAACAACTGTCCAAATATATATTTTGTCACATATAGATTCCTTTTCAGAGTCCAAAACTTTTATTCTCATGCAGGCAGTCTTCTATTGTTTTCCTTAAAAGAAGAAAAAAATATATATTTTCAGTGACATGAATATGAATATTTTCATAGGCATCTGTGTTATAAATTCAAATAAACTGTGATATCAGTATTCACAGTATCATGACTAATGAAAATTGAAACAAGATGCAACCATATCAATACATGTAGATAAAAATTTCATACATGACATTTAACCTCAAAAAGAACATATTTTGAACCATTAATGTCAGCCTTTATTTTTACCAAAAAGACAATGTTAATCTTATTAAAGAAGACAGATACAAACAGATGAACATGTTGCTATTAACTTATTTTATGATATATTAAATGGACTGTGCCACTAGCCCTTATCTTACCCCTAAGATTAAAATTTAATAACTCTGTAATTTCTTTGTTTATCATTACCTAATTTTCTTTTGAAAGGATTATTTACAAAATATACTAATGTAGGAGTAATATAAGATTTCTCGGGACCTTCTGTAGCTAAGATACTTTTGCAGAATTGGAAAATGTTTGTCTTATTTGCAAGATAATTTGTGAAAAAGTACTGGCATCAGTATCTATGGATAATTACTGAACACATATAATTAACTCCATTTTACTTCTTAGTCATCAGGTAACAAAAAGACCAATAGTTGCTACTTATAGAGCTATAGTATGATATTCAAGTTATGGTTTAGGATATATATATGTACCTTTCTTCCAGTAGCATGTTGCTGCTCATGAATTATTTCCTGATCTTGGAATTGTAAAAGTTGACAGGTCCCTCATTTTGAAGATAACATGCTAAAATGGAATTTATACTTTGATAAACATTTCATGGATAAATATAGTCAATGTTTTCATAAATACTTTTGAGTTTGAAGCATACCAAAGAATGATTTTAAAAATACACAATGCAATCACAGTTAATAGTTATGAATTGCCGAACACCCTTATGTTTGTTTTCTTCACAATTAAAGAATAATTTGGGTCTAAGCAACACTTACCATCTATAAAATTTAACTCTTGAACTCTTCTCAAGTGTTTCTTCTTCATGAAAGATATGTCAATAAGGTGTTAACTCTCTCACAGTAAGCTGAGTAGCTGGAGCCTGGAAAAAGTAATAACACATTTTTTGAAAACAGAAATGTAAAATTATACTGACTCCCAAACAAATCAAGCAATTGATAATGTAAATAATTGTTTAAGTAACATTTTTATGATACTATTTATTGATTTTTTAAAAAACTAATATGTACAAGTACCGTCAAAAAAACATTGGGATCCCTTGGTCTGGTAAATCATACATTGTTGTCATCCATGACTTTCTTCAAGAACCTGCATAATTGATTTCACTGTACCTGTTTTTGAAAAATGGACATGGTTTAGAATACAAAATAATATCTATAAAATATAACCTAACTTGTCCTCTATTAAGAACATTGCCCCTACCCTGGCTTCTACATTTTTTTTTTCTAGCACTAATGTAAACAGCTAAACATTCTGAAACTGTGACCTAGAATTGGTTTTTTTTTGGTCTTGTTTAATCCATGATCATTTACAGAAGAAAATGGAACATTATCCCAATTTATCAAGTTACTTATCTAAAACACATATCCAGAGTAGTTTTTCCTTACTTTCATCAGTTTCAATGTTTCACAATGTATGCTGAAAACAAATGGAAAACGTAAGCAAACCTGCAGTGCATGCCAGCCCGAGAGCTCGAGCAGTTTTCCAAGTAATAACCTCCTTAAATCTTCTGGTATAGATGAAAAGGTATCAATTCAACTGATCACTGGTTGCATATTTTCGTCAAAAATACCAGAAAATACCGATGAGACCCGCTCAACTAGATTTGAAATGATTGGCTATTCATTCGAATACACAGTGCCATATTTGGGTTACTGTTAAAAGTAGATCGTTCGTTTTGAATTCGGGAAGACTTGGATGAAGAGGATTACACAATACTGAGGTGGAAAACATCTGCATATATGATAAAATATATTTCAGTATTTTAAAGTAAAGGTTGTCAAATGAACGGGACATATTACTGATATTACCTCTTATAAACAAAACTAATAAGCGTATGACTTATTCAGGGCATTTGCAATGTATGGGAACCAGTCTACAAGGCAACAAAATTCCGCCAAGAATAAACAAAGAGATTGCGGGATGTTGTTTACGTGTATCACTCGACACTGACTGCAAGGTAATGAAAATGTGCTTATTTGTTGTGTATAACTGTTTCTGTCTTTCAAGATTTTGAACAATGTCGTTTAACATTTAGACGAAACATCTAGGGAGGGAGGGAAGAAGAGGGGTCACCTCTTAATTTGTTGCATCTACTATATAGTGGTGGTATCAGTATCAGGATAGAATAAATTAAAATGGAAAAAATCATAATAAAAACTTTGTTATAGATTTAGGACAGCTAAATAAAAGGGCGAATTTTTTTTTTGTTTGATGCGGGGGGGGGGGGGGGGTAAAAATATATTAACCTCAAAAATGTTTAAAAGATATAATCTCATCTCAACTGAAAAAAGTGATTAATAATCTTTCCTTGTCTGATGCCATTATTCCCTTTACCTAACTGAAATAAGAGTTTCTGAGTCAGTTTATTTTTTCCTTTTGTAGTGGTGATTGGGGGGGGGGGGGGGGGGAGTCAAACTTTGTTCATTTAAGATAAACATGAATAATCTGTCCCTGATTATTAAGGAAATCAAATATTCTGTTCATCACTGACTAGAAAATAATTAATCTGACTTAGCTGTCAAAAAAAAAAAATTACCTTTTCATAATTTTAAATTTATCTTTTGTAGAAACAAAGAGTGAAGAGCTAATGCATGGTGCTAAATATGGAAAGGTCTCTTGTGGTTTGGTTGTGCCAGAGACAAATGTACATTATTTCCATATTGGGTAATGTCCTTAAGAATGGAATTTTTTTTCAAATACAAGGGACATGACCTTTTCATACATTATCACTGTACAGAGATCAAAATATTTTTAAACATTGTTAGATACTCACTACATTATTCCATCTTCAGAAAAGTATTTAAATTATTTTCTCACATTTTTTAAAGAGACCAGTATGGTGAAGAGATTTTTTAAATTTTAATTTTGAATTTGGATATTATACAGGTCAGAAGTCTCGGTACACTTTGGGTGAGTGGCAGTTGGGAAGATGGATGACCTTCAGATAGTTTGAGATGAAGAGGTTCTTTTAAATGATTGAAAGTGATCATCATAGAATCAACTCCATTATGAAGATAAATTATGAGCAAGTCAGGTGAGGAAATGACTTCAATGTGTTATCACATTGTGTAAATGAATCTTCATTATTAAGATCTTTTACATTTTATTTTTATATTTGAACTTGTTTTTCTATTATTCTAAACTTCCAAAAATAAAATTAAAGTAGTTAAAATACACTACAAACATTTAAAGTGTCTTGGCAAGTTTTCAAGGTTATTGCAGAAGTGCTTTAATTTCAAAAGATAACTAATTAATCCAAACCTGGAAAAGAAATGGATGTTATTCTCTATAATTTCGAAGATTATGTTTATTATTAGCACTCCTTTTGTCCAACACCTGAGAGATCTGAGTACCCAGCCTACTGTTGAATTAATTGGTGACCAAGAAAAGATGACAGAGAGGGGAATCAAATGTGGATGCCATCGTGATCAAGAATATATACACTGACTAGAAAATATCTGAAAATATATAGATGAACATTCAAGCATTTATAATAATGAAAGTTATTCAGCAAGAGAGTTTTTGCACAAGTTTAATTTTCAGTAAAATTGTGTATATTGTGCACTGAGGAACTTGGTATGAAACTCATTATGATTATCCATTTCTTTAGGGGATGTATTCGGAGTATATTTAAATAATCATTATCTTCTAGAAAAGAGCACACAAAACTTTTCTATCTGTGCGAAGCATGACACGTATGCATACACTCCAGCATTTACCACAACCACAGTTACATATTTTCCAGGGCGTGTGAAGTCGAGCACATACATGAAAATGTGTGAAGCTGGACACATATGCAAACACACAAGCATCTATCACAACCAATTACATATTTTCCAGGGCATGTGAAGTCGAGCACATACATGAAAATGTGTGAAGCTGGACACATATGCAAACACACAAGCATCTATCACAACCAATTACATATTTTCCAAGGCGTGTGAAGTCGAGCACATACATGAAAATGTGTGAAGCTGGACACATATGCAAACACACAAGCATCTATCACAACCAATTACATATTTTCCAAGGCATGTGAAGTCGAGCACATACATGAAAATGTGTGAAGCTGGACACATATGCAAACACACAAGCATCTATCACAACCAATTACATATTTTTCAAGGCGTGTGAAGTCGAGCACATACATGAAAATGTGTGAAGCTGGACACATATGCAAACATACAACATCTTCCACAACACCAGTTACATATTTTCCAAGGCGTGTGAAGTCGAGCACATACATGAAAATGTGTGAAGCTGGACACATATGCAAACACTCAAGCATCTACCACAACCAGTTACATATTTTCCAAGGCGTGTGAAGATGAACATGTATGTAAACATAATCTCCTACCACAGACACAATACACGTAACATTTAGTAAAAAGTATAAAGTCAAGCTCAAACAGGCTCACTGCGTGAAGCTGGACACATGCATTTACTTATGCATCTTGCAGAACTACATCTGAACCTATATTCTAATAGGTGTTTAAGCAATTTTGTTTATTTTGTGAATATGTAAATTGCACCATTATGCTTACAAGATGTCAACATTATTAACCTGTACATAAATACTCATTAGATAGCCTTTAATAGTTTAAGTTGGAAATACTAGTACTTTGCCTGATTTATGTTGTGTAGTTTCTCGTCAGTGATCTTGAGTAATAACCGAGTATGGCATTTTTAGTTCCATATAAACTGCAAAGTTTTAACACATGTACATCCACCATAAAGGATAAATAATATTGTATTGTATTTTAACCTTTTTAATTTTATTCTTTGTCATTTTATTGCCTGTTCAAGTACAAGATGTAATCTTGTAATGTTTGTAACTGTTTTTGGTAGATATTTATGAAGCAGAAATTATAACAAAAAAGGTTTCAATGTATCTACACTAAAAGCAAAAAAAAAAGAGTTCTCCATCTATCAGATATCAGCAAATCAGATAAGTTAAAGGTTAAGTCATAGGGAATTTTAAAGTTAATTATATCTATATTCTGATATCTGATACCATTTTTACATTTTTGATTGCCCATCTACAGTATACAAAAATAGTATAAATTTTTATATTTTGTAGATGACAATCTCTAATACTAAACACAACTGGATTGATATAATGCTTGAAAATTTGTGTATTTTTAGTAAGATCGAGTTCAACAAAAATGGCCTGGGGGTATCACAATAGACACATCAGATACCTATTTATTTTAAAAGTCAAAAACCATTTGTTGAAATCTTAAGTAGAGTGTATTAAACAAAAAGCCTGTATTTAAATAAGGATTTAAATATATATATATATATATATATATATATATATATATTATATCAACTTTAATGCAGGATTAAAGGTGAAAGGTTAAATTTAATTACCTTTTCGTTTAAGTAAAGGTTACCATTTCAGCTTTACTCTTTGTAAAGTTAATACAAAGATGACCTTGCTTTTTGGAGCACCTTTAATGAGATTTACTTTGCAAGTAAAGTTTTGTAAAGGTGTTTTTTCAAGCAGTGATATAGTTACTTGGGAATGTACCTGCTCTACAAACTTAATTAACTCATCCAGAAAATGAGGGTCAGATCAAGCAACAAAGCAAATCTGGTAGAGTCCATCACTAGATGATCATCCATGCACTACTCCAAAAACTTTAACCTGGTCATTCATCTGGGAAATGTAAGTCAGATTCTGCATATCCAAAGGAAGTCTGGTAGGTATCTGCTCTAAAAACTTGAACTTGGTCTCTCAATTGGAAAATGTAGGTCAGATTCAGAATCCCAAGCAAGTCTAATACTGTCCATCCCTATATCCATCAAATGTAGGTCATATCCACCATCCGAAGTAGTGCACATCCTGAGATGCATCTTCCCTGCAAGTTTGCACTAGTAAGGTTATAGTTACTTTGGAATGTACATGCTCAAAAACTTTAGCCTGTTCACTCATCTGGAAAATGTAGGTCAGATCCATGACCTGGATTAAGCCTGGTAGTGAACTCCATAGATGCATCATCCATGAAAGTTTGGTCTCGGTGGGACTTACAGTTCCTTAGGAATGACTTGCTCCTAAAACTTTAACTGGGATGTCGAGGCTAACACCTCAGCTGGGGTATAGCATAAGCTCACCTCGACTTTGTGGTGGTGAGCTAGAAAGCCAACAAGTTAAGTAAAAGTCAACAAAATGAAAATAAAAAAGATGGATTTAATC